AGTGAGCGCCCCTACAGGTACCATTTCATGCGCAGCATACTGCCGCAGCAACTCGCTGCTATTGGTTGAAGAATTGTTACTAGATGCTGCAAAATAAATTTCACCATATTTTGCTTCATCGCTGTGAAGTTCAATTGAACGAACAGCAAAGCAGCAGACACGCGATATAGCCGGCCAGTGCTGCTGCAGCTATTCCTTTTCCGTGAGCAGCAAATATGCTGTAGTGAATTTGGATCACGTGACTAATTTGCTGCTGCTGCATGCTGCGTATGAAAAGGCACCTTACTAGTTATACTATGGTCTGTGTTCTGAACGCAGCCCAGTTGAACTATAAAGAACAGACCTAAGACAGAAGAACAGACCGTCTTCGTGGTTGTATCCATGCTTAGTAACAAGAAGTGTTATTTTTATAGGTTATATTTGTTAATAGAGTGAAATGAAGTTCGTTTAAAATTATGTTTCTATCTTATTTCGTTATTTATTAATCTTGTCAATTTTGTAAATGTTGCCAATACGGTTTAGTGAAGTGTTGTTGACATTCTTGATGTAATCAAGACTTCAAGAGAACCACGATTTTTATTTAACCTCTTATATGAAACACCGGTGAAATAACGGGGAAAAATGGAAAGCATTGATTGTGATTTTAATATGGATGGTGAGTAGAATTAAATTTATTAGTTATATTTCTTTTAATGATATGTGCCTGTATAGAAAAGAAAGAACGAGAGAGAGAGAGAGAGAGAGAGAGAGAGAGAGAGAGAGAGAGAGAGAGAGAGAGAGAGAGAGAGAGAAAGAGAGGTTTCATACATAGAACATTTTATGTATTTTAAATATCTTATATTTTATGAGATAAATGTTAAAGTTTACGTTTTCATTCTTATTTCACACACACATTTGATGTGTTTTTGTATTAAAAAAACTATTTTTATTAGATTTATTATTTTTATTAAAAATAGTTTAAAAAATAGAAGTCGTTAGTGTAAAATCAGTAATTAAGCACTACAGATGACATATTTAAAGGTTAGGAAATCTGTCTTACTCGCCAAATAAAATGAGCATGCACTTCAGTCCGTGCTACGATAAAAATAGTATGCAACGTAGAAAATCTAATATATAATTGTAACGTAATTAATATTACGTAGAAAGCATGGGATGATGTAGGGTGGCCTTTGTTTTGCGTTGAAAGTTGAAAACCTATGTGGAACTGTACAATGACAGATTTTTCCTACTTTCATAATTATTTCCTAGAACAGTGCAACTTTTCCTCTGATATTTTTTGTATCAACAAAGTACAAAATATTATATGCACTAGAAATATTGCAGCGAATCAAGATATATGAAACATCTTGTATATTTTTCATGATAATAGTAACCCAGATAGCCAGTGTGAGCACAAGTTGCTTTCACATTGCTAAGAAAAATGTTAGCATCTTGCTATGCATCTATGTCATTTATTGTGCTGTTGTTTGCTAGCATTTGGTGTCGGAAATGAAACATTTGCATGATTCAAACATTATTAAGTGCTTGGTCAGATGTAATAGATATAACATGTTTATATCTGTTAGAAAATTGAAAACAATTATGCTAATTCTTTGTTAACAGTATGCCTATTCGATGTGCTCTCTCTTTAGCTGTGCATTTAACTATGACAATATGTTAACATTATGCTAGCTGTACTTAAATCACTCAAACATTGAATTCATATTCCCAGTAAAGAGCCAGCATCAGTTGCTGGCATTTTATTTCCATACATTGCTTGAGCATACTGGCTATCTGGGAATGTATAAATGTATAATGAATGATAATACATATAATACTTACTTCAACAGTACACATAAAAATTATTGAAGTAATCATAGAAGGGGCTCAGAGCCTAAGCAGGCTTGCAGTGTCCAAAAAATTTCCTTAATTTAAATATAAAGTGAATAAACGTTTCGGTCCTAACTGAACCATCTTTAGTATATATAAAAAAAAGAGATAAAAATTAGCGCATGATAGATAACAGAATACAATTAATACAAGAAATTACGCAGTCAGTGATATAAAATATGAAAACAATAGAACGGTCATACATAAAACGCAACGCAAGTATATGTAACATGGGGTGTTTTCTAGCAACGTATACAGCCGACACTGATTGTGAGTAACACAGTGAATCGTTTTATCTTTGTTGCTTGCCATTGCTAAACAAGGATCAAATGATTATCTGCGTTACATGTCAGTCTGTGTCTCTTGCTGGAAAGCACTCATAGTAAGTTTTAAACGAAAGCTGTAACAAAAGAAATGCCATGTGGGATAGAAAGGAAAAGAGATACCTACTTGGAATCGTGTTGACCAGTATCGATGACATTACCAAAATGAGGAATAAAGGGTAAACAACAAGGATAAGGGCCATCGCACACAAAATTGCATAGCTGCATATGCATAGCATAAGACCGTCTGGACCAATAAGCATGTTATGTAAATCAATATGACGATTCAATGCTAGATGCTTCGTTGGTTTAGACGGTTCTTATGCTATGCATATGCAGCCATGCAATTTTGTGTGCGATGGCCTCTAGAGTGTATTGAGAGGCAAGGGCGTCCGGAGGGGGGTGGGCAAGATGGGGCATCTGCCCCCCCCCCCCTAGAATTTGGAATAAGCAAAAAATTTTGCCTATTTGGCATACCTTGTCGCGGTGAGAAAGCTATTACCAAAAGGTGTAAATATATGTATATACAGAGTCAAGGCTTTTAGCTCTTTTATTCTTTGACTTTTTATGTATATACACCTTTATATATGTATATATATTTGAAATCATATAAGTATTCTGTAGTAGTAATATTTTAACAATATAAATGATGCCCCCCCTGGAAAAAATTATGCGGATGCCCTTGTTAAGAGGAAAGAGAAGGGATAAACAAAAGAGGAAAGGAGAAGGGGATAACGAAATTAATGTGAGGGGAGAGGAAACAAGTTCAAAATAGATATTCAACTACCAACAGGTCTGTATCTATCTGTTTATTAAGGGGAGCAATTTGGCGTTTAATACGTATATACCATTTCTGAATTTCTTGTATTGATTGTATTCTGTTATCTATCATGCGCTAATTTATTTTTCCTTTTTTATACATTGAAGATGGTCCAGTTAGGACCAAAACGTCTATTCACTTTATATTTTAATTAAATTTTTTGAACACCACAACCCTGTCTAGGTCCCTATGATTAGTATAATTTTTATCATACAAGCAATTGTTATTTTTATATAAATGAATCGCTTTTTAATGCTTTTAATATTGATATTGGTTATTATTAGCTTTCGATTGCCGGGACAATAATTAAGGCGTCAATTATAAGTTCAAAATACACAAAGTTATTTGAGAATTTACTTACTGTTACATATTCACTATAAAATCTTTCGTGAAAAACGAATATCACTTCATGTGACATTGTTACAAAGATATTGTACACTTATACATTGTTTATTTGTTAGAGGGGTCTTTGGGGGTGTAGCCACTATGTATCCATATGATGGTCTATGAAACCAACGAGTGAGATACCAAGCAATGCCCTGGAGTAAGCCCAGGTCTACAATAGGTGTAGTAAGCCTTAAGCCGTAAAAAATTGACCAGTCACAGTCTGAAGTGAGGAGAATAATCGCTTGTGATTGATCAATTTCTTACGGTTTAAAGCTTACTACACCTATTGTAGACCCGGGCTAAGGGGTAAACTGAGGGGATTGTGGTGTACAGATTTCAGGTATTGCCAGGTATTACTAGGCATTACTAGGTATTTTTTGGGCATTAATGGGTGTTACTTGGCCTTGCGGGGCATTATAAAAAATCTAAAATAATAAAACAATAAAATAAGATAAAGTAATGCCCACTGGGTATTAATAGATATTGGTGTACACGATTTTGGTTGGCGGTTTACTCCTTGCTCTGGAGTCGCATATTATTGCTGGCATATTATTCTTACTTTATTTAATAAGGAAGCGAGTAGTAAAATAAGCGAGAGGAGTGTCGAGTGTAGGCTCGTAGATAGCTCAGTAAGAAGAACACTCGGGCTCGGCAGGTCCCAGGTTCAGATCCTGGTCTAGTCCTCGGCCCATTATTTTTCTCTCCCAAAAGTTATTAACTCATTTAGTCTCAAGCGACCAATATTTTTCCTTGAGTTTCAAAGCCGTAACTTTTGATGTAAACTTCATAAACAAAATCTATACCACAGTGTTTTCGATAGTTTAAGCGGTGCGTCTCAGTACCTAATTTCTCGAAGATACACCCCTATTTATTACTAAGGAATAAGCATGGTTGCGAAACAATCTTGTGGAAAGAATAGACTGCAAATCACTCTATATCTTAATAATTAGTAATATTATCATCGCGAATTGCCATATCTTCAATATTTTTAACTCACGGCAATTCATTATGATAACATTACTAATACATAAGATATAGTTTGATTTGTATTCTATTATGTCATTGTTAGATTGTTTATTGTGATACATATTCCAGTAAGCAAGTAATTATTGTTACAACGCGTTTATAACGTTATTCACTAACATGGTAACATTTTCAACTGTGTAGTTTTTAACGTTGTAGGCAGTATTGTTATGAACATACCTTGACACCGATTTGGAGGTTTCAGTAATGTTGAAATAACATTTTCTAGTCAATATTGCATATTTTAAAGTTAATATCATCATTAATATAACATTATAACAATCTTAATTTGAATATTTATTCATTCCGCGACTGTGTTGTTAACCATCACTCAACGTTGTTTAACTTTGACGATCGGACGGGTTTGCAGTGATCCTCTGGCTCTATCACGTTTCCTTTTCGCTATGTAATATATGTATAATACTTATACACAGGGTTGGGTAGTGTCTAGTTAGAAAGATAAAAGTTAAAAAGTTAAATAATTTTAATTTAATTTAGTTACATTATCAACTGTTCACTTTTAACTTAATTTAGTTATATTATATCGGTAACTTTTAACTTTTAATTTACCTTTCTTAAAATTAGCCTTGCCATAAACAAAGGCGTCGCGAGACGCCGCGTGCCTGTCTATAATATATTGGCAGTTTCTGTGTTCCAAAATTCACTCTCAGAACTAAAAATCTACAGTATACGTTATACGCACTATAGATCTTCAGCGCTGACAGTGAATTTTGGAACACAGCCATTATATGGGACTTTGATTATCAAAGTCACGTGATTTGTTTGCATATGAAACGAATCATATTCCGTGTCGTGTGATTAGTTGTCCAAACGCTGGTCGTAAAATTCAACGCAATTTACGTGATTATGAATCTAAGATTTTGTGTAAAAATATTATTAAACAAATTTAACTTTTAATTTTTCAATTTTATTTTATTATGTGTAAAATAATATCCTTGTCTATAAGTGCAGGAGTAAACAGAAGTTCTAAAAGGCTTCTTGGTACATTTTATGTATGAAAAAGCATGTGTCGTCTGGCGACGTGGAAAACATATTAAAAATCTTGAAAGAAATATTCCACACAGCACAGAAAGATTGCAGGAAGATTGCAGAAATGTTACATTGCTAGATTGCAATATTGCAGCAACGTTGCGCAACATTGCTGCAACGTTTCTGGAGGATTGCAGCAACGTTGAAATGTCCGCCCTCAGAGAGATTGCAGTGCAACATTATAGCAATGTTGCAGTGCAATATTTTTGGAATAATTTGTTGTTGTTGTACATAAGCAGAGAATTTACTAATTACCTATACATCCGGGCCTTTTTCAAGGTATAGCAAGCTTTTGCGAAGCAACCTAAAGAGGTTATGTCGCTTCGCAATAGATGGAGATTGCGAGTAACACCGCACTGATCAAGTACTTAATAATTCGCGCATTATTGGTGTTAGCGACAAGCGTTAGAAGGAACGCGAACAATGTACAAGTATATGTAGGTATATTCGAACGACGACGTAGAGGTGACAACCTTAGATATACTAATCGTAGAGGGGGGCAAAAACCAATATACCGAACGACTGTCGATGACCCGAGAATTCACAGAAACCGACAGTTACTGATCCGACTCCGATAGCTGTACATCTAAAGATAATAAAGTCACAAGTTACATCAATTTCTGTACAATTGGTATCAACGAAAATAACATTATAAAATTCTCGTAATTAGAAAATTTTTTTTAAAGATAATAGAAAATATAGTATTTTCATTATTTTTGAAACATTGCTGCAATATTGCTATCGAAAATTTGCAATTTTATATCCCTGCAATGTCTCTGCAAGATTGCAACGTCTCTACAATGTAACTGCAACCATCTGTGCTGTATGGGATTACATTGTGTTACTACTGCTACCAACAGATATTATTGCAAAGTTGTCGTCACAACATCGAAATAATCTCGAAAGGTTTGAAATTATCGACATTTAATTACCGGCAGAATTGCATCAATAACATCTGATAGAATCGACATCGATCCTATGTATTATTTCTCACTGGAAAACATTAATAACAGTTAAAAACATTTTAACTCGTGTTTTTAAAAACATTTTACTGGACAAATCAGAATGATTTTATTGTACAATGTAAAAATATTTGGAGAGCAATGTTATTAAATAACATTTTTTAAATATTTATAAAACATGACATAACGTATAAAAATTTATATAAAATTAACATTTTATTAATGTTGATAAAACATTTCTTGTTTACCGGGATATTACCTCATTGGTCGAATTATAAGACGCCCGCCTAGAGTGTAGGGAGGTCCAGGTTCAAACTCTGGCTGAGGTAATATTTTTCACAATAAATTTCTTGAATTAGAATTTGCCATTTATGTCGATTTAATTTTCTACATTGGTTAATTATTCACTGGTGACAATAAGTCTTTAGTCTTGTTATATTCTACAAGCTTTTCAAAGATTATTTTATAATTATACCTATTTTTTAAGGAAATGCTGGAGTGATTCTGCACTTTTTACTCCTGAAACTGTCAATTCGTGAAAAATTTTTTATAAGTTACCTAACCTATAACTTATTTAAGTGAATAGATTGCTATTTGGGCTCCTAAACTTATTGTTAGTTTCAATGATACATACCATGCTGACGTCTATTAAGGGCATGCTGGAGTGATTCTGCACTTTTGCACCTTTCTAACCTAGAAACTGTCAGTTCGCGGAAACACTTGTGTAATATACAAATCAAATGACTTACGTGTACAGATCGAAAGCAGCTTGCTATTTCGGCTAAATAAAAGAACAATATGGCATCACTGAAACTAAGTTTGTAAGTCTAATAAGAAATAATAGTGAACAACACACACATACAGTACATGTGGTATGTGCAGTGTTGCTCACTATTAATTTTTATTAGACTTATAAATTTAGTTTCAGTGATGCCTGCATATTGTTCTTTAATTTAGCCGGAATAGCAAGCTGCTTTCGATCTGTACACGTGAACCATGTAATTTATATATTTCACAAATGTTTCCAGGAAACAGACAGTTTCAAGTGCAAAAGGTGCAAAAGTGCAGAATCACTCCAGCATCCCCTTAAGACTATCTGACACAGCCACTTCAGCACAATCGAAAAAAACTTAAATAGGAATTTAGTGCTCTTTTGTTGCTAATTTGTTGCTCCAACCGATTCGGAGAAAATAGTAGCTGTGCTAACTCTAGATTAAAGTTAGCACAACCATAAAAAAGTTGAAAAAATAAAAACAATACATTTTTTGGGACGAATTTGTTGCTAATTACTTGCTCTATTTTGAATATTTTTTACTCCATTTTTAAACGTCAAAACCACCCTTAACGTTATTCTAGATTAAAAAACATCTTAAAACTGCAAATTTATCAAATATTTCGACACAGCCACTATTTTCTTCGAATCGGCTGGAACAACAAAATCAGGACTTGAACAACAAATTAGCAACAAAAGAGCACTAAATTCCTATGTAAGTTTTTTTTTCGATTGGGCTGAAGTGGCTGTGCCAGCTTAATATACGTACCATGCTGTCTTCTGATTTAGTTCAAATAATGGGACCCTTTCAATCTGCACGCATAAGCGCCTTATAATTTATGTATTACACAAATGGTTTCACGAATTGACAGTTCTAGATGCAAAAAGTGTAAAAGGTGTAGAATCACCCCAGCATCCCCTTAAATCATTGAACACCTTTCGAATTTATCAAAAAATACGTAGAAAAAATGAATTTGAATAGCGGAGAAAATCAGAAATATGTAGTGCGAGTAGTACTCTTGTCATTGTAAAAATTATTCTTTGCTTTCTGGTGGAATAAAATCATAAATAAATATCGAATACAAGGAGATATGCCGCGTAAGTACCGCTATGTTGCCCATTCGGGGAATTCGGATAGATTAAACACATATGCACCCCAGGTAGGAAACGTCGCTACAGTTACAACAAGCGTAACGATACTGGGTCCGATACCAGCAATTATAAAATCTTTTGTCTTTATGTGCCCCGCGGCACTGGCAATTGCGTTTGGTGGGGTACCTACTGGTAGGTGGAACGAAAAAGAACAACAGAGAGCCGCTGGCAGCATTAGATACAAGGGATGTATTTTAATAGCCACGCACTGAAAAAAGAAGAACAAAGTCCTGTTTTAATGCCTGAATATTTCCATTCAATAGCTTATATAAATTTTTACTTGTTATTATGAAATTTTTGTTTAAAACATTTTTTTTCCTAAATAAAGACCAATTATTTGAAATGCTCAAGTTGAAATTAAAAAGATGCATTTTATATAAAACTTGCGTTTTTGAGTATTGTACAGCGTGTCTCATTTTACATGGCAACTTCAAATATCTAATAAACATTCAAGTAGGACCCTCGAAACTAAACAATATATGTGAAAACGCCTAATGCGGGTCAACAAGGCAAGATGTAGGTAGCCCGACTTGTAGACCTTCAAATCTTTCAGAAAAATCGTGAATCTTTATACCGTTTCTTTCCACATTAGTACTACACGCCGAATTGTTTTTCCGGACATAACGCAGTTTGTCTTCTGCTGACGACAATTATTCCACGTTTAAAGGCGTTTTCACATATATTGTTCAAATATCTCTTTTTTTACAATACATCTTAAAGAAAGATATTTCAAATAAAAGTTGAAAGGTTCAAAGGGAGACAAGATGATCGATTTTATGTCTGGGTCTCGTACTGGGCCTAGTAGGGTTCAATTTTTTTAATGGAAACCCCCCATTTTTTTATTGTATTATATAATATAATATCATCTTTTTTGCTGATTAATTTGAACAACTTTTGTGCAACATCTTTCCTTAAAATGTATTGTTTAAGAGATATTCGAAGTCGTCTTTTAAAATGGGATACCCTTTATATATTTTTGTTTAAATAACAAAACTTTATAAAGTATTACATGTATAAAAACAATCTTTAAGTATTAATAATCATAAATTGATCTCTGTTATCATATCAAAGTTTATTATTAACTTTGCTACTCACCATCTCCGCTAACACTGGCAGTATAATATTTGCGACAGCTACATTGGCCGTTAACTCCGTTACATTCTCGGCGAAGAAGCAGACGATCAGTAATATTGCCACCACATTAATCTTTTGTAGACCTATTAGGTACTGACCGAGCATCTCCGACAAACCTGATGAAGTGCTACCTGCTGAGATAGCAAATCCACCACCTAACACGAATATTAAGCTCCAATGCATTTTCTCATTTATCATCTTCCATGTTATTAAACCGGATGATGATTTTTTGGGTCGTTTATGTGGATCCTTGTTAAATGCGTGCAAAAAGTCCAACTTTGATGGAATAATAAAAAATAATATTGTTACACACGCGGCTGCTGTTGAATCCTTAACGGACCTACAAATAAAACAAAAATTTTATCAATAACAGAAAATTTGTTTAACTGCTCGTATATTAAATTAATAATGTGAAATACGTAAATAGCTTTGTGAGCGCAAGCAGGATTTAATTACTCAATTAATATTCCTTACAATGTTCTTTACGAACGTTTTGGCACGTTTGATTCGGCCATTGCACAGTAAAAAAATAAAATGTTAAGGTTAACATTTTTCACATATTCCAAAAAGTCCACGCTAAATTTTAAGTTAAAATAACATTCATCACGTGTGTTACTTTTTAACACATTATAAATGTTAATTAACTGAAATCTGAACTAATAATCTGAACTGATATCTGAAATAATAATATATCTGCCTTATGTTAATTTTATATTGAAATAATAATCGTGTCTTGGTAATGCAAGAAAATTTCAACATTTCAACACACGATTTTTTACTGTGTATCAATGTGACATAATTTACAAACAGGTCTTAAAACTACATGTTAAGCATTTCTTGACTTATATGATACTTGACTTATATATTCAGGAGTGGTCGTGTCTTGTAGGCATCGGTTGAATAAAAATCAGAATATATCGAGTTTCTACCTCTAAACTTGAAAACCGATGTATTCTGATTTTTATTCAACTGACGTCTACAATACACGACCTCTTCTGAATATATAAGTCAAGAAATCCTTGACATGTAGTTTTAAGTTCTGATTGTAAATTAAGTTACACTGATAATAGTCGATTTAAATGTGCCGAAACGTTTGTAAGGAACATTGTAAGGAACATTAATTGAGCAATAAAATCCTGCTTGCGCTCTAAAAGCTATTTAAGTATTTCGTATTATTAATTTAAATTTTTAATTATTTTCTATCTTGCTTGTTTACTTTTCCCCAGTTTATATCTTATATTTTTTGTTACATTTTGCTTAATGATTAATTATATAACAGATTTTATCAAAAATTTAAAACTTATTAAATTTAAAAGAATTACATGAAATTAGAAGAAAATTGTTCTCGTAATTTTAAATTATACCGAAATTGTAAATTTACAAAATTAAACTTAAAAAAAAAAGAGTTTCGTCATTATTTTCCTCTTTTTTTCTTAATTACATTTGTGGTAACGCGTAATAAAGTTTGATTTTCAAGTAATGAAAATCGATATTTTCAATCAATACTCACAAGTCTGTGATAAGACCGGCCCAGCCCGGCATAAAACCGGGGCTTCTAAAGAACCACAAGAGCACCACGAATATAAATAGGATACCCACGGAGGACTCGTGCCACGAGATCGGTCCAAGTTCCTTGTACCGCTTCTCGATGACCGCTGCAGCGACACGTTCCCCTTGCTGTCCAATATCTATGGCACGAGCATCTTTGCTTTCCCGTCTGAAGAGGCCCATGTACATTACTTGCAGCCATAACCACGTGAGCAAACCCATCAATAGCATAGGCGGCACCGAGTACAACATCCAAGAGGCAAAATTTATGCCGGGACTATGGGGAAAGCGCCTAGAAACAAATATAAATGCCATCATAATTGCTATTATTTCCTGTGAGACATAAATATTGGAAAAGTCAAAATTAAACAGATTGAAATAAATAATTTAAAATTAATTTGTGTGTGTGTGTGTTATATATACATAATATATATGATGTACTGTAATTCTTTCTGAATTACAAACAAGAGCGCCAAATCATACTTGGGTCCTAGCAAGCTGAAGGTAATCTAATAATTTTAAATTAAATATGTGAACTCACATATACCGTATTTTCCAACCTGTCCTATCGTCAGCGAATCGCGTATTATAAAATCGTTGAACGATTTTCTAATTATTTAAAAATGCTATACTTGGCATTTAATACAATGACCTCCCTCCCCGTACTAAAATTAGAAGTCTTATTGCGAAAAATATTACCTCAGCCAGACCGATTTCACCCAACGAAAACCTGTGTTATAAAGTGACGGCGCGCAGGACAGGTTGGAAAATACGGTATATGAATTCACATGTTAAATTTAAAATTATTAGGCTACCTCCAGCTTGCCCAGACCTAAGTATGATTTGGCGTTTTCGTTTGTATTTGAGTTACATCTTAAAAAGGTCCTGATTAAACTTCAGTTGTTTATAATTCTTTCGTTTATTATATTATAGATGTCTTGATACTTTGCTACGAGGAAAATAACGCTGAAAATAACGTGTTTTACAAAATGTTTCATTTATTGTATATGCATACTTCTCTAAAAAGCCTTTCAACGTTAAATTGGTGCCGCTTCCGACAATGGTGCCGATACCACCGAGACTGGACGCGTATGCTGCGACGAGATAATATACCATGGTACTGTGTGTTGGTCTCTTGCTTCTAAGAAATAAAAAAACAGTAAAATTTGCAACGTTCCAACGAAGACTTGGGTATCTGTGGTGGAATTCAGACATTAATATTCAGAAATTAAAAATTAGAAAATAAATAATGGAAGAAGAAAAATGCAACGGCGATAAATATTTACGTTTCCCCGCCTTCTTCCTCGACCGCGCCCTCTTTCTGTACGAACATATTTCCAAGTCCTTGCTAAAGCAAATTTGAAGAATTATTTCCGCGTCTTAAGAGGATGCTGGAGTGATTCTGCACTTTTGCACCTTTCTAACCTAGAAACTATCAGTTCGCGGAAACACTTGTGTAATATACAAATTAAATGGCTCACGTGTACAGATCGAAAGCAGCTTGCCATTCCGGCTAAATGAAAGAACAATATGGCATCACTGAAACTAAGTTTGTAAGTCTAATAAAAATTAATAGTGAGCAACACACATACCACATGTGCGTGTGTTGCTCACTATTAATTTTTATTAGACTTACAAACTTAGTTTCAGTGATGCCATATTGTTCTTTCATTTAGCCGGAATAGCAAGCTGCTTTCGATCTGTACACGTAAGCCATTTAATTTGTATATTACACAAATGTTTCCACGGAACAGGCAAGTTTAAGTGCAAAAGGTGCAAAAGTGCAGAATCACTCCAGCATCTCCCTAATATAATATAATTGCGTAAGTTTTCGAAAAAGAAAACTCACCGCTTCGAGCTCTACAAGAACAGTTTCCATTATCGGTATCATCATGGCTGTAGCGGCAGTGTTTGAAATCCACATCGAAATGAACATCGTCACAAAGAACAGGCCTAATGTTAGTCTGAGAATAAAAGAAACTTATGAAAAGAAACTTAAATGGTGAAAGAAAATTTAAAAGAAGCAAGAAATATATGAATGAATATATAGATAAACATACAAATGACAAAAATTATTAAATGACTTTGTTATACTGATAATATTTCCACTCAATAAATAACTTATAAATATTATGAACTATGTAGATAAATATTGTATTATATACAGGATAGATAAGTTTAATATATCATTCTTAATATATTTCAGTTATTTTTTCATTTAAATAAAAATATTTTAAGTAAAAGTTTTACAGAGAATTTTAGAGGAAGAATGCGTGCAACAAATTTTCTGTGTTCTATTATGCAATGCCTGTAAATTACGTAATACTTGATGACGTTATTAGAAAAGGGTTTTTATAAATTAATAAATAATAAATTTGATAAACAAATTTGAGAAAAACTTGAAATATTTTCTTATGTAATACAATGACATTGTATGAGATACCTTCGATGACTGCAACCAATAGTCTTGATAATGAGTAACGCTACTCGCATATGCAAGCCGGCGTTTTCGATAACCACTGCGATTACCAAACTACCCAAAAACATCATTGTAGTATCGTTCATGTAGCATAGACAGGTGTCATTAGTGGACATAATACCCATCAGGGGATATAAAACCACTGGTATCATACCCGTGATCGGTAATGGCAGGACTTCGGTCACCCAAAACATCGCCATTAACGCAACGATGTATAAACATTTCATCGCGAGAGGCTGCATTGACAGAAAAAGAAAACAATTCTTTAACTCTTTCGATTTGAATTCAAATTTGAATATAATTACAGCTCTTGTTTTCTCATTACAGCTTTATTAAAATATGATCTCCGGGGAAAACAAAAATTAATGTGTTTTTTTACTAATTGTAAATAAACACGTCAAAATGAAATAATGTATCTTGCCATGTACCTACGTTCGAGTATAAAGCGGAAAAAATTATTAAAAACATTTGTTCTTAATATACTGTTGAATAAAAAAATGTACAACAACGATGGTAGGTAATTGTTTTCTTAACTTGCTACTGAATATGATCTCACTGAGTATATCGCGCTAAATATTATCTTATTTGCCATTTTTATCTTATTTACCAAATTACTTTATCACATCATAATTTTGAAAACTGTAATATACTTTTAAACTAACTTCTTTTCGTCCTGAAGAGGACTGCGATTTGCAGTCGAAACGTCGTTGTGACAAATTAAATACATAGCCAGTTATGTCGAAACAATTGATTGATTATTGATTTAATTACTGGTGAACAAAAACATTACCAACAACATTGTAATATACGTGTTAGAGAAATTTTATCGCAATTTCAAACTTAAGTGTGTTAGAATTCTTAGCTTGAAATTTAGCCAAAAGAAATTTATTGTGGATTAAGATTAAAAAGATATTTGTGATTAATGTAAAGCCTCTCGCGTCAAAGTTGCTATTTGCACATGCTATTAAAGATCTATCAAGTTTTTTTTTATTATTTTTACTATTCAAAACGTTTCTATTACTAATTGTGTTATTTAATTTTAATTGCAACAAAGGGTATAGCCGGATAAGGTA